CAAGATACATTCCCGTAAGTGCCAGTGTGATCAGGGTTACAATCCTCTGAGGGAACACAGCTCAAGCAGATCACGGATTCAGATTGTCAGATTCCAGAAAAAGAAAACAAGGGAAAAAAAAAGGAAACACGGATTCGGCCTTGAAAACGGCTGGATACATCAGGGTGACAATCATCTGAGGAAACACAGCTAGAGCAGATCACGGATTCCGCCCTGCCTCGTTGGCAGGGGGCACATAACAAACAAAGAAGATAAAAAAAAGAAAACAAGTTCAGAATGTGACCGTCTTTGTTGTAAGATGCGTTCAAGACTGTGAGCACGGGCCTCCTAGACTACCTTGCCCGACATCATTGCAGTACAAAGACCTTTTTTTTTTCATTTTTCTTTCCTGCACGGGCAAAAGAAAACTACGATTTTTGGGACATTGCTGACCCTGTGTCCGAGCCCCGAAAACTTCGGGTACTGGCCAGGACAACGTAATTTCCCAACACTGGCGGAGGTACTGGTGGTTAAAAAAACTGGCTGAGGCTGCCAGGATAACTTCCGGGTTGAATTGTGAGGCCCCCGGCCTCGGTGACCATTTTGGAATAATATGAAACGGTTTGTGAGAAAAAATAAAAAATAATGGCTGTGGCCTTTGTCCACAGAGGCCTAACTCTCCTGTGTCTTGGCCTACCGGTAGCCCTCCTTCCTTCCGCCTGTCCTCCTCCCTTTCGCTTGTCCTTTTTCACCGACCCCTCTCTCTCCGCTGCTCTGTCCCGCGACTCCCATCCTCACCCAACGGGCCGCGACGCCGCGCCCTCGCGGTATAATGACAGTAGCGGGCCGCCAGAGGTAATGGCGGGTTGTCTCTCGGTCGGCATTTTTGGGAACTTTTCAAAAACGTAACCCCCGCGCAGGCGACCAAGAACAGGGCCTCGCGCCGCGCGCCATTTCTCTCGACATGCACAAAAGACAAAAATCATGGCGGCGACGTACCTTCCCATGTTCTAGTGGAGGATTCGTTCTCGTTTGCACATTTAGAGTTTAGAGCGCAGTAGAGCGATGCCCGCAGTTACGGGAACTTCAACTTCAGCCCTTTGCTATCGCCGAAGGTCACCCAGATTTTGATCGCCACACCACATGCCAGGCCAACATCTGGCGGCCTACTACGGAAGTAGTTCAGTTGCTACACCCATGCACTGTTGAAATACGAATCAGACCCAAGTTCGAATCCAGATGCAAGCAATCAGATGCACAGAATCAAATAGATTCTGAATTACCTCGGGCCGGTCAGTTCATCTATTCTATGATATCTCAACGACTCCAGCCCCGAGACTCCCGCCAACAACCAAGGTCCGACAAGCGCCGCTCGACAAGCTGTTATTACAATAGACAAGCCACCTGCGCGTCGTGGAGAACCCCTCACGTCTCTGGAGTCCGATCGATCGGGTAGCAGCCATGAACAGATGTCGACCGTCGGCTTTCAGCATCGACGATCACTGCAGTTCTTTTGATCCCTGACAGTGAAAAGTGAATTCTCGGTCTTCATCGTTGAGGTCCGTCGACCAAATCAAGTGGCATCTCGATCAAATCTCGACCCTTAGAAGACGCTCTGTTCCGTGTTCCGTCCCGCCTGATTAGCTAAATCTGCGCTACTACGCTTATCCGCTTGGTGGAGGAGGGTGCAACAGAATTGCAAAATTGAATTGAACTGCGATACTTAGTCAGGATGGTGTATTGCAGGTGGGTTGGGTCGATCGCCGCTCTCCCTATCTCTCTTTTTCGCCGCTCTCCCTATCTCTCTTTCTCTCATAAGATGATAGTGATGATAATGATGATGATGATGGTTCCGATGATGATGATGATGATGACGACGATGATGATGATGGTGGTGATGCTGCTGCTGCTGCTGATGATGATGATGATGATGGAGTGAGATTGAAGAAGCTCAGGGGAAGGAACGCTTAATAACTCGACTCGGGATCACGAAGAGAGTGATTGGCTATGGCGATGGGATTGACATGGTGATGACGATGATGAGGGGATGGAGGGCGAGTGGAAGGGGGGGGGGGTGCCAGAGACGAATCACGATCGATCGAGCATGTCGGGTGGGTGGAAGGGAGGGTGGGTGGGGGTGTGGGGGGGGTGGAGGGGAGGGGGGGGAGAAGAGGCGGGGGGGGGGAATGGAACGGGGGGCGCGGGCTGGGGGAGAGACAGGTGTTGAAAAAATCGAAAGATGTCTGCCACGCGTCGGAATTAAGTTCTGATGTGACGACAATTCTGGAGTTCTATGTCAGTTTTGGAATCTCTCTCTCTCTCTCTCTCTCTCTCTCTCTCTCTCTCTCTCTCTCTCTCTCTCTCTCTCTCGCTCTCTCTCTCTCTGTCTATGTCTCTGTCTGTCTGTCTGTCTGTCTGTCTGTCTGTCTGTCTGTCTGTCTGTCTCTCTGTCTGTCTCTCTCTCTCCCGCTCGCGCGCCCACGCGTGCTGCCCTTTCCGCCTCCTGCCCTATCTTCACCTCCCTCTGTCTATCTGCCTGTCTGTCCGTCTCTCGCTTGCTTGACACGTTTCAGGGAAATGCGGAACTGGTTCTTAGTTATTTATATTTATTTGTGTTTATTTTTACACGCAAATGTTGTAGGCTGGACTCGCTCTTATGTGCCAAGCGGACAGCGGAATGTCTCCGCCAGGTGATCTCCTCTCGTCTGATGTCGGGATCGGACCAGGGTTCAGATCTGCTGGAGGCTGTCAAGACCGCCGGGACAAAGCTGGTCGCAGCGAATCCGACAGGTGATTTGCCTTCTTCTCCCCCTCCCCCTCCTTTATTTTTTTGTTTTTATTTTTTGGCGAAATTCAGAATACTGTGAACAGCCCCTGCAAATCTGGGCTGGCCGCTGCAGGTCGGACCTGTGGGTATGTCCTATCTTTTCACACACATCTCCTCAACTCTCCGCAACAAACGCCTTCCCCCCCCCCCNNNNCCCCCCTTCCTTCCCCCCTCTTTAACCCGGTGATTCTGCTCCCTCCCCTTCCAAAATTCAGCTCATGTGCTATCTATCAATCAGTGATGTATACTGTTTTTGTTGTTCTAACGATTTGCGTCTTTGAAAAGGAAAAAAGAGGGAAAAAAGAGGAGAAAAAGGCTTGCTTGTTCAAAAACAAAACAAAACAAAAAATAAAAAATAAAAAAATCTTGTCAAAAGAAAAGAGGGAAATGATTTGCTTGTCGTGGGCAATGAGAACAAGAGAACATACGGGGATAAAATTGCTGTTTTTTTTTTTTGTTGGCCGGGTTTGCTGCCAGTTAAAAAAAAAAAAAAAAAAAAAAAAAAAAGAAAAACCCTACTCGTCAGGGACACAGAATAAACTTCAAGAAAGGGCCAACAGGAGCACCAACAGTCGTTGGCTGGGGATTTCTAATTCCGAAATTGTCTAATATTCAGTTCCATGTTTTAGAAGGGTTGATTTGGGGTTACTTTTTATCAAAAAAAAAAAAAAAAAAAAAGGAGGGGAGGAGAAGGAGAAAGAGAAGAAGGGAGGAGGGCGTACGCAGTCCGGGACTTCGTTAGTCATCCCTCCTGACGTAATTGTGGCCAGATGCATGCTCGGACGGCTGTACAAAAGAGGGTATCAAGGCCTGATTGTCAGTTAAAAAAATAAAAAAAATAAAAAAGAAATTCCGAGGGTAGACCGAGGATCATCAACGATTGTAGATGACGATTGAGGGCATACTCACATAAGGACTTTTTCGACTCAGCTCTGGACGTGATTGCAGCCAGGTACATCCAGGTTCGGCCGTCATTGCAGTCAGATGCACTACGAAAAGTGCTAGAGTGAATATGCCCTGAGGGAAAAAAAAAAAAAAAAAAAGCAAGAAAATAAATCTCGCAGATCCCTTTTGTTTTCTTTTCTTTTTTCCTTCTCAGATCCTGAAACGCCGCACAGATACCAAGTGGCCTACTGTCGTCTCCCTAATAAAACGCCAGGTCATTATCGCTGCATCTGGTCTGATAATTGCTCCTCATACAGCGCGATAATGACCCGGGCGCTCTATATTGGGGTGAAGACGGTAGGCCAGCTGGTATCTGTACACGCCTGCACTGCTGTAATACAGACCTGACTTTTTTTTTTTTTTTTTTTTTTTTTTCAGACCTGACTTCAAACTCCACTCGAAGCAGATGAGTAAAAAAATTATAAGAATTCAGAATTACCTATTATAGTATTATGATATCTACCTGACTCGAAACTCCAGTCGAAGCAGATGAGTAAAAAATTACAAAAATTCAGAATTACCTATTATGGTATGTCAACTTCTCAAGGTCGTCACCCTTGAAAAAAAAAAAAAAAAAAGGATTCAAGAAGGAAAAAGGAGGGGGAAAAAAAAAAGAAAAAGGTGCACAGACCACTTTGTTTGGGAATGGGGACTTGCAGGAATCCTTTTTTTTTTTTTTTTTTTTTTTTTTGGGCCTCCCGCTGGGAGAGCCTGAAATGTTTGTCTAGGTTTTACACGTAAGAAGGGGAAAAGAAATGTGGTCTAGCAGCTTTAGCTTGAATAAAACCTGTGTGAAATTGGGACTTTTTTTTTCTTCTTCTTATTATTTTTTGAATGGCGATTTTTGTTTTTCAATTTTCACTTGTTTTTTCTTCTCTTATTGCACTCTGCATTCTCCGACATTTTCTGAATGTGAATCGCCATGGTTTGATATGACAGTGCACTGATTCTCTTTGTTTGTTTGTTTGTTTGTTTGTCTGGTTTTTATTTTGTCTGTTTGTTTTTTATTCTGCTTGTATCGTTTTTATTTGTTTGTTTGTTTCAAATTGTTTGTTTATTTATTTGTTCTGTTTTGTTTGTTTGTTTGTTTGTTTGTTTGTTTGTTTGTTTGTTTGTTTCTTTGCTTGTTTGAAGATCACCTTTTTTTTTTGGAAATGCTAAGTGAAGAAGGTCGATCTTCCTCAGCAAATTCCATCGCTCCAACTTGAGCAAAAAATGAAAAAGTATTCAGAATCTTCCAACATTCTTCTCTCTTTCTCTTTGTGTCTCTCTCTATCCTTACTGTTCGGGCTTTTGCCTTTGGTGTGTTTCTTCGTGCATGAGAATGAGTGTGTTTGCTGCTGCTACTCCTCCTCCTCCCCCTCCTCCTCCTCCTCCTACTGCTACTGCTCCTCCTTCTCGTCCTCCTCCTCCTCCTACTACTAATATCACTACTATTATCACTACTACTATTACTATTTCTACTACGACTACGACTAGGATTTTTACTGCTCCTCCTCCTCCTGCTACTGCTCCTACTCCTACTCCTACTCCTACTCCTACTCCTACTACTCCTACCACTCCTCCTCCTCCTCCTGCTGCTACTACTACTACTACCACTGCTACTGCTACTGCTACTACCACTACAACTACAATGTACTACTACTGCTAGTACTACTATTACTCCTTGGAAAGTGCATGCATATCTGTTCAATCTTGTAAGGCATTATACTTTTGTTGCCACAGGAAAAAAAAACTTCTTCAAAGGCAAGTGTCCATACATAAGGGATCGGATTCCACACTTCAATGTCCAATCCTTCGATGCACTGAACACCGAACACAACACAGCAGGAGGGCGCGCACACGTTAGTTCGAGAAAGCCAGCTGTTTTCCAGCACACCACTTTTCCGACCACTTGTGTGCAACCGACCATTTTTGTTTTTTGTCTTTTCACAGATACTGAATTTGATTGTACGCTTTCTGCATTCACAGATTTTCTTTCTCCCTGCGAGCACAGTATCTGTGATTGTCGAAAGGCAAAAAAAGAAATGGTTGGCTGCATACAATCTTCATGAAGAAACACGCACACACACAAAAAAAAAGAGAAAAAAATAAGCACACGCTTGGGCTTCGACAGAAACTACCAGTCAGTTGTTTCTCTTATTTCTCACGTAAAATTCACGTAAAATTCACGTAAAATTCACGTAAAATTCACGTAGTGAAGTTCACATGAAATTGCATGTCGTCTAAAGTTCACGTAAAACTCACATGAAATTCACGTAAAATTCACGTAAAATTCACGTAAAATTCACATGAAATTGCATGTCGTCTAAAATTCACGTAAATTCACATGAAAATCACATAAATTCGCATGAAATTGCTTGTTGTCTTTAATCCAGAGCTTGTTATTGGAAATGTAATGCGGCGGGTGATGAAGATAATCCGTGAAGAGGAGGCGACACTAAGGGCTTCGGCAGTGGCAGGAGAAGAAAGTGGGAGAGGGGAGGAGGATGATCGGGCAGCATCGGAAGGTTAGCTAATTACTATTCATGTTAATTAATGATCACTAGATCACCAAGTAGTGGCCCGGTGATCTTTTTTTCTCCCCTCCCTCCCCCCCCCAACCCCCTTCCCTACCCTATGGTGGGTCTAGCCGAACTGGTGTGCGGTGAATCCCCACCTGAATGCACCGATACCCTCCTCCCTCCCCCCCCCCCCCTTTCCCTCTCCTCTCCTCTCCTCTCCTCTCCTCTCCTCTCTTCTTCTCTCTTCTCCTCCCCTCTCTCCTCTCCTCTACTCTCCTCTCCTCTCTTCTTCTCTCCTCTCCTCCCCTCTCTCCTCCTCTCCTCTCCTCTCCTCCCTGCTCCTCCCGTTTTCTCCGCTTTGCTCCTTTCCCGCTGATCCTGTCATCAATTTTGCCTGTTTATCCGCTCGTGAAATCTTCAACCAACGAGACGGAAAGGGAGGCTTTCCTTCTGTAATCCTTGTTAGCTTTCCCCTCGCTTGTCTCTTTTTCTTCTTTTTCGTTTGGTTTCGTGTATGCCCCCGCCCGTCCGTTCTTCATGTGGATTTGAGTCTCGGAGAAAAGCCGCTGTCCTTGTTGTAGAATTGTAGAATATTTCTCATACAGCGTCGTCAGTGGTATTTGAGTTTCAAACATCACTCAAGAATCCAGGTGATGACATGACGTCTGTCTGTCTGTCTGTCAGTCAGCAGTGTGGGGCATGCATGACCCATGCACGCCACGTCATGTGATTGCTGCCGTGACAAGTTTTTTTTTTTTTTTTAATTCTCTAACAACTAGTAACAAGGATTGGTGAAAGAACAGTAAGTTGGGGAATTAAAAAAAAAATTCATGGGTATATCCTGTTGACACGGTAGAGTTCCAGGCTCCTCTTATGATTGGTAAATGCAGTACTGCAGTTTGCTGCTGCTGCTGCTGCTGCAGCTGTGAAGTTTCAAGTTCTCAACCTCCCTCCATATATATCCATGACGATACATGTACATATATTATATATAGTCCTCTTCTCCCTCCTGCCTAGTCCTCTTCTCCCTCCTGCCTACGGCTCACCGGGCATCTCTGTTTGAAGATATGTATGTATATATAAGTAATTGGAAAAGTATACATAGATGATATATGTACATACATGCATACATCCATCCATACATCCATCCATGCATACATCCATGCATACAGACATGCATACATCATACATACCTGCACACATATCTGCACACATCCATTGCAGACTGTCCGGTCCTGATGTCTGTATGGATCCTGGCACTGCATGGATGTGTGCAGATATGTGTGCCCGGATCCAGACTGTCGGTAACCGGACGCCCGGATCCAGACTGTCCGGGTCCAGTGTCCGGCTTGAGGGGGGGGGGGGAGTCCGGCTGGGCCCTGTTTTGGGAAATTCGAATTTTGTTTTTGGGGTGCCCAGGCGATTTTCCGGGGCCTGGTGGACCCCCAAAAATTGTTGGCGCAGTTTTTGGTGGGCCGTTGGGCCAACCGGACTGGCCCTGAAGGGCCTGTCCTTGCAATCTTGGGTGAACTTCAGCCGGCCAAGGAGAACTGGTTGTTGGAGGCATTCGCTGCCTGCCGGCGGGTTGAAGATTTCATGTTGTCTATTTGAATTTTGAAATCTATTTGACAATTTGTGAAGAGTCCTGCGTGTGTGTGTGTGTTCAAGATAAGTTGGATAACACAACTGCAGCAGCGTGTCTGTTTTTTTTTCCCGCACATCTGGTCTTGCTCATCCATACTGCAGCAGCGTGTCTGTTTTTTTGTTTTTTGTTTCTTTTCTTTTCTTTCCCGGACATCTGGGCTTGCTCATCCATAAACGCACCGTCCGGGTCTGTATGTCCGGTTGTCCGGATCGGTGTCCGGATTACCGGACGTCTGGATTAATCCAGACATGGGTCCGGGCCCGGTGTCCGGTGTCTGGATGTCCCGGTCTGGGGCCAGCATGCCATGCACACATCCATGCTCACATACCTGCACACACACCTGCACACATATCTGCACTCATACCTGCACGCATACCTGCACACATACGTAAAGACATGCCCACATACATGCAGACATACATACATACATACATACCATACATACCATACATACCATGCATTGTGCATACGTGAGGCGCGCGCTGCACGGTCCGCTGATCGCAAATGCACCAAAAAAACGAGAGAGAGAGAGAGAGAGAGAGAGAGAGAGAGAGAGAGAGAGAGAGAGAGAGAGAGAGAGAGAGAGAGAGAGACCTTTAGCCCTTTTCAAATTATTCAGAAAACCCCTGCCCGGACTTCAAAAGTTCCCTGCCAACTTAGCAAAGATCTCGTCAGCAGGAGAAGAATAGTCGCTGGGCTAGTAGTAAGGAGGGAGCAGGCCAGCAATATATAGTGTAGCTTCGAATTCAGGTCCGTGTTTCAGCAGTTATGGGTTACGGACTTACTAACTCGGCATGTGATGTTCAGGGCTTCACTCCACTGCTCACCAAATGTGCAAAACTAGAATGAATCTTCTCCTCGAAACTGGAACGATACAAGCCATATGTTTTTCTGTTGTGCAAGTGCTGATGAGTGGAGCGACGCCCTTAGGGCCACTGCACGTAAGAAAAGGAAAAACAAAAAACGAGACAGCTACTGTAATGTTTGCTCGTAACCCATAACTCCTGACACAGACCTGAATCCGAATCCAGGATATATTGCTGACCTGCTCGTGATCCTCCAGCCGTTCGATGAACATCCTCCCTGCTAATTCTTTGCAGGGGACTGTTTGGAAAAGAGATTAAATCCAATGATGAGTACGATGTGGCGCCAATTTTATTTTTATTTTTCTGTGCACTTACAATTTTTAAAAGGGATGCACACATTTGGTTACCACAGCCTGCCTTTTTTTTTTTTTTTGTTGTAATTGTGCTGCATCACGTCCGCGCTCACGTGTGCATGTGCGCAACTTGCGCACACGTGATGTGCCGCATGTATGATACGTCAACATGGGCAGTCTTGTACGTGCAAGGCACAGTAAAAGGGGAGCTGCAAGAACAAATGGAAGGGGTTCTCCAAGGATAACCAAAAAACTGTGTAATTGTAAAATTGCTTGAATGTAGGACTGTCTCAACTCAAGTGCTCTCATGGTCTGCAATATAGGACAGTAGCTGCTTCGATTCTGAATCTACTTGTCTGGGTGGAATTGAGGCTGTAGTGGGGGAAATTTAAAACATACATATTACATACATACACACACATGCATAACCCCTGATGAGTCGGTGGAAGTCCGATGAAACAGTCTGGCACAGTCTTGCTTTTTGAGTGTATACACTGTATAGCGAATATGACAACACACACACACACATAATACATACACACACATACATACACACACATACATACGTACAATCATGCATCTAGACATACATACATACATATATCCATACATAAATAGATAAGTGATTGGAAAGTGTTGTGCCGGAACAGTTGGTTGTTGCTCTGAGAAGGATTGGATTTCTTGTAAGGGAGGGGGTGACTGGTTTGTGCTCAATTTGTGGGGGTAGTAGTGGGTACTCAGTGGGTAATTTTTTATTGCAAAAAAAATGAAATGACATAGATACTTCCTGCTGGAATTTGTACAGTCTCTATTCGAATGAGTAGCTAGTTTTTCGATAATAAAAAAGTCTGCAATGACGGACACACTTTCTGCTTGCATTTGTGCAATGACCGCGGTCCATTCTTCAGCTATGATGAGCTGCTTGGCGCCACATTGTTTTTCATACCGAGAGAGAGAGAGAGAGAGAGAGAGAGAGAGAGAGAGAGAGAGAGCTGGTCACTGGAAGTCATGACAAACGTGTGCACATCCACTGCTGCGGTTTCTCCAAAAGAAACCAGGGGATAAATTATTAAATTATTAAAATATATGCAGATTTTGTTTCTAACGGGGTGGGGGTGGGGGACGAAAATAAGCAAGAAAAAAGGTGAAATAGAAATTTTGAAAAACGTGGTGTCATTTTGCCTGTGCAATGTGCGCATTGCAGACACATTTTCATTGATTGGTAGTATTCTTGGGTGGGTTGTTTTGTTTTCTGGGCGGGGGGAGGTCGACAGGCGGGCGGCAACTTCAGCGATCCCAACTAAAGGAAAATGCAATCGACGGCGTCAACGAGTTAATGCATGAGCTAAACGAGTCCTACTCGGAAATTGCTCAGCGCGCAGCAGAACACATTCATCACAAGTAAGATAAGATAAGATAAGAAAAGAAAAGAAATAGGGGAAACTAAGCGGGAGTTACAAAAAGAGTTTGAACGTACAGTTTGGGCCAAAAACAGTTTCAAATTGCACTTCGGGCAATGCATACAACCTAACTTTCCGGTCAGGTGGGGTTGCGTGGGGGTTTGTTATGTTCGCGGGAATGCCTGCGCCCTGCAGTGTAATTTCAAACTGTTTTTGTGACTGTACTGAAGTTACCCCAAAGAAAATAAGATAAATGAGATGATAATGTAATATAATAATATACAAAGGATAATTTGAATGGGGAGCAACTCGTAGTCCTCCGAAACCTGGGAAGAACGAAAGCGTCCACTTATTGCGAGTATCATGTTTCCAAGACAGGATCATACAAGAAGTTCTTAGAAATATGATCTTAGAGACTTAGAACCTATTTATGAACCCCCCCCTTTTCCACTTATTCACATGGCTTCAGACCGGGACGTAGTGCTCACATGGCCCTTAATGTTGTAATAATGGGTAGGTTGTTTAAGAATCGATAGCTGTCTTGCCATAAATTCAATTGTTTGTATGGTGTAGTCAAAGAGTTGAAAAGCAAAAACACAATTCTAAGCTAAGCTAGCCATGTTTGACAATGGTTTTCTAGCAATCTTTCCAGAAATCGTTCTTATAAATGCCACTATCTTATGACTTATCTATGGAGTGATTTTGAGCACTTCAAAAGGTTTCTGTTCTACATGTATAAGCTAGGCTAGCAGAGTGGCCCGGGGCTACTTGCCCGGCCAGGCCAAAAAATAAAATAAAATAAAATAAAAATAAAAAATAAAAAATTGTTAACTTCAGGGTCACCAGCCTGTACGTACGCAGGTCCTCGGGCAGACCTCCGTACGTACGGGCGTTCGGGGTCCTGTACGGGGTCCGAACCCGACCGCGGTCGGCCCCCGCCAAAAAATATTTCGGGGCCTAAAAATATATATTTTTTTCCTGAATTTTTTTCTGCGAGTTCTCTATGACGTGAGGTACATGCCTATAAATTTTCAAGTCATTTGGCTCAGCCAAATAAGAATTAAAAATCGCCAAAGATGGCGGTGTCAAAACGTGCTCGCCCACGTTTTTTTTTCACTTTTTACTTTTTTTTTTCACTTGAGTTCGGGTTCTAAACAATTTTATTATTTTTTGAAACTTTTTTAGTGGGTTTTGCATTATGTGAAGTAAACATCTGTAAATTTTCAGGGCATTTAGCTATGCCAAAAAAAAAATGAAAAATCGCCAAAGTGCTCGCGCAGTCACTAAATTTTATTCTTTTTTTATTTTTTGTTATTTTTATTATTAGTATTTGTTTTTCTTATTTTATTTTTATTTCAAATTTGGTAAGGAAGTTGGATATAATGCTCAGGCAAATCTTGTTTAATTAATTTTTCTTCATAACACATCTTTTTTTCAGACTTTTTTGATTTGATTGATTTATTTATTTATTTTTTTTATTTTTTTATTTTTTTTTTTGGGTCCGCGTTCGGCCCGAACGGCCAAACGCATCCCCAAGGGGCCCCATACGTTCGGGCGTTCGGGTTCGGGCGTTCGGCCTGTCCCGAACGCCGGTTACCCTGGTTAACTTTATTTTTATTTTAAACAAGTGGACCCCACCACGGCTACGCGCCGTGGCGCACAGCAACACTCGCTGATGGCGTCTCATTTTTCTTCCATGTCTCTCTCTCTTTCTCTCTCTCTCTCTCTCCCTCTCTCTCTCTCTCCCTCTCTCTTTGTTTGTTCCCATGTTGTGCTTGGCGGGCATCGGTGCTTGTCGTCTGCTCTCTCTCTCTCTCTCTCTCTCTCCCCCCCTCTCTGTGTTTCTTCCCGCGTTGTGCTTGGCGGGTGTCGGTGCTTGTCGTCTGCTCCGCCTGTTTCTCTCTCTCTCGCTCTCTCTGTCTCTCTCTCTCTGTCTCTCTACCTGGCCAGTCGCATCTGCCCTCTCTCTCTCTCTCTCTCTCTCTCTCTCTCTCTGTCTCTGTCTCTGTGTACATGCGCAGTCACATCCGGCCGCGCTGCAGTCGTCTCTCTCTCTCTCTCTCTCTCTCTCTCTCTCTCTCTCCCTCTCTCTGTCATGCATGTTCGGTGGCCGTTTTCATGTGTCCAGATTGTGGCAACGGGAGCCCGACGCGCAATAATATATACGCGTCTCTCTCTCTCTCTCTCTCTCTCTCTCTCTCTCTCTCTCTCTCTCTCTCTCTC